AATTCTTCCCGGACAGAAAGGAGCTGCCGATTCTTCCGTCTTTCAATCAACGCAACACTCAAGTGACTCGCCGGCCCCCTGCGTGCAGCGTGGCCCCTTCGTTGTCTGTGAGCCTCCCCGTGACTGCCCACGCGCCGAGTGATACCCTTGGCCCACGTACGATGTGCACGAGACATTCCAGAGAAACTGGCCTTGGCCGCCGGTGAGAAAAGAACCTGTAACGAGGGCTCTAACCCTGAGCCCATGGGCTCTGCCAAAGGGGTGGGGGCTGCGAATCCTTTCCCCGAAAACACGTGCACAGAAATGCTTACATCCAATTTCCAGGGACCCACAGCCCCGGGGGGCCCACGGATTTCAGGTCCGGGCCATCTTGTGGGGACCATCTACTGCAACACCCCCCAGACGGCACGCTCCGGAGTGTCCCCAAGACGCTGCTCAGTAGACCTTACACACACAACGCTGGTCCAAGGTGTTTCGAGAAGAATACGTTAAACATGGCTAAGCACACGCATACATCTGTAATGGACGCCTTTTCTGGACCTTCCTATGCTCACATGCCCTGTCACTTGCTGGTAGAGTTTCCTAAACCTACTGGACATTTTGTGTGTGTGTGTGTGTGGGGGGGGGGGGGTTCTGACCAGCATTTCCTGTAACTAATGCTCCCACAGGAGAGTGTAGGAACTAAGGCTAGTCCTACAGAATGCCGTGGGGAGACAGTCTGAGTTAGTGACATCCTGGTCCATGTTCTTCATGTCCCTCTTCATGACACTCCAGCCAACACAGGCCACCAAGAGTGATGCGGATTTACTGGTGAATGCCACCCAGGGACCCGTATGGGAAACTGTTTGACCCAATATTTCTATCATCTTCTCTCTTCCCACCATCATCCCCTCTCTTCCCACCATCCCCTCTCTTCCTTCTCAGTCTGCCCTGCCATTACTGCTCATGGTTCAGTCGCTTCCGCTTCAACCACCACTGACACATGCCACCACCTCTTTAACCAACACCCCCCTTCCCTTTCACTCTCTTTCCTTTGTTCCATCTGGGAATAAAAATAGGGTTGTCATTAAAATTACTAACAAGGAAGGGTCAACGGGGAAAAGGGGGGTGACATCTGTAATACTTTCAGCAATAAAGATAAATTTAAAAATTAATAAGACTATTAGGGTTATCAAGAAACTTAAATGACTGCCTTTGGGTTTAGCCTGATAAAAGGTAAAGGGGCCAGACTTTGTGACTTCAGAGAAGCAGCGTGAGCTCCAGCCTAGGAATGAAGACTCTTCCCCAAGAAGTTCCCATGGCTGGCTGTGTTACAGACACTAACTTTTATTTTACTTCCTTTTTTAATACACTTATTTTTATCCTAGCAACATCATTTACTATGCAAGTGTGAAGTTCGTTATTTCTTTTGTTTTGTAACGTAAGTGTGTATTACATATTTATGTGTTATACAGATTATGCGTCCTACCTAATGTTTCATGGTGTATAGGTGATAGGTGCATATACACGTTATTTTAATTATTTTTCTCCTGTAAATACAGACTATCAGGGGTTCACAAAGGTTTTTGCTCTTAGGCTAGCCGGGTCCCACCTGCCCTCTGCTGCACTGTTTACCTGGGAACAACTGGCTCACAGCTGTGAGGATATCGTCAATGGCAGGCGGGGCACTTCCTACTTCCTACATCAGATAAAACGTTTCACACCCACACACACATGCGCGCGCATGCCAGTGGCATTGATTCTGGCCACCGTGGAATGGACGGTGTCTTCTACTAGAAAAGACAAATGGATGTTTAAATAACTTTGCCGATGAATCCAAACCACAGTGTGTAATGCTAAGGACATGAATCATGTTTTTTGGAAAGTGGGCCCAGGAACTGTTCATCAGCGCCCGCTGAAAGGTTCGCTGGAAGGTGACGGCTCTAGTGTCTGGTTTAAAGTGGGACCACAGGGGGTAGAGTGATGGAGTGAGTCCTGTGAGTCTGCGGTTTTGGGATGAATGGTGCCTTCTCTGGGAAGATGGAGGAGCGCTGGTTCCCTCGCAGGACGCTGCCAACCTTCCTTCCCCTTCCCCGCCTTGCTGGTCCTCTGGAGGCCCAGTGCTCTGCTTAAGGGGTGCTGCCCTCAATTCCTGGCTCGGGGCCAGGCCCTGCTAACAGAGCACTGCCCCCTCCTATTCAAGTGCCTGGACACAGGCGTCCAGCTGGGCTAAGGAGAACAGAGTAGTTCCTGGAACTACTGCGGAAAAAGCGCCGCTTTCCCAGGGAAATTTGCTAAAAATGGCAAAAGAGAGGCCTAGAGTTTTGAACGGGCCACCTTGCTACCACTTTGGGAACCCCTGCCTGAGAATAAAATTGACCTAGAGGAGAGGCAAGCCAAGAGAGGGAATGACAGGCTCCTAAGGACACCCCTTAGGCACCTGGAACCAGCGGTGCCTGAAGGCAACTGCAGAGCTGGACTCCATGAGAGTCCATGGATTCCCCCGTGCACACAGGTCAGTTCGAGTGTGAGCTCTGCCACAGCTGAAAGAGAGGTCGAAGGTGAATCTATTTGAAATGGGGATCCTTTCGCTAAATAAATATTGGGAAAGTTCTGCTTCCACTGACAAACTAAAAAATATTCAACGTCACTAAGTACACCTCGGTAGTAGTCCACAGATGTCATTAGAATTTCTCTATAAAACGGGATAAACTAGGGTGGCAGGAAGCGGTCATGCTTATCGGAAACACTGTGATTACCCAAAGAAATCAGAAAACCAGGAAAAGGTATACTGAGCCCCGGCCTCGCTGGAGACCAGCTGCTGTTGAATTATCTGGAAGTATCTTAGCTCAGTCAGGCCTTAGGTTGCTGCCCGATCGACTGACAGACACATCCCACAGGAGAGAATCACTTCAGAACACTAAGGTTTAAAGAGAACCTGGGGCCCTGGCCAGTGTGTTCAGTAGTTAGAGCATCGGCCTTCCCACCCAGGGGTCAAGGGCACGTACCTGGTTTGAAGGTTGGATCCCTGGTCCCAGTTGGGGAATGTTTGGGAGGCAACTGATCAATGTGTCTCTCTCACATTGATGTTTCTCTTTCTCTCTCTCTTCCCCCCTCGCCCCCTTTCTCTAAAAATCAATAGAAAAAAATATCCTCAGGTGAGGATGAACAAAAATAATAAAATAATAAAGAGAACGAGGGAATTTTCCAGCCGGGGCCTTTCACCAGCCCTTGACTGTGGTCCACAGAAAGAAATAGCGCTCCATACACACACTCATTCTTTGAGACCAAAACTTCCCAAATCCCCCCTTACCCTCACTACGTGCAACGCACTTTGATTTTAACAATGGCTGGTGCTGACCACTAAGTTAGTTTCCTGGACCATTACTGACAGGTTTAGAAAACAGGGCAGGGCCCAGCGGGTGTGGCTCAGTGGTTGAGCGTCGACCTATGAACCAGGAGGTCACGGTTCGATTCCCGGTCAGGGCACATGCCCAGGTTGTGGCTCTAACCCCAGTAGGGGGCGTGCAGGAGGCAGCCGATCCATGATTCTCTCTCATCACTGATGTTTCTCTCTCTCTCTCTCTCTCTCCCCCTCTTCCATCCTCTCTGAAATCAATAAAAACATATGAAAAAGAAGAACACAGGGGCGGTGCTGAGACGCAGAAATGTAAGGCGATGTACCTGAGCGTTCTCACTGGGTTAGTGGTAGAGCTGGAACAAACCCTCGCGCTCATCCTACTGTGTGATCTGAAAGCAGACAGCTGCTGTCGTACACATTCTCAGGCAGCGAGTGCGGGCCCGGCTTAGGACAGCCGGAGAGATGACTCAGGTGGCCACCCAGCTATCTGTCCACACGGGTTCAGGCCGACGCTCCAGGCCACTTCAAGACCACTTCACCAAAAACCCAAGCCGCCTGGGGACCTTGAACTGACCTCAATGGGAGAGCCTTCGCAGTATGTGCCTACATTACCGACAGACAAGGCTGAACTGAATTACACAAAGGAGGATCAGAGGCGAGTTTGTTTTAGGCTTGAAAAAATTCATTCCATTCTCCTCACTCTATCCAAAGAGTAACACCACACGTACAATCTTTCTGTTGACTAACAGCATTGATGAAACTCCCCTCTCACCCCCACCCCCAGATTTCATTATGGTGGGGCAGTAGGGGGTACAGCTTAGGTGCCCCCCCCTGCCCCACAAAGAGCTGAAAATCCAATGTGGGGCTGGGGGCGGGGGGGGGGGAGGGAAAAGGCTTCATTAAGGAGTAAGATTTGAGTTGGGCTCAGAGATTAAGGAGGTAGAATTTAGAGCAGGGTGTGGGGCGGGGCAAGCAGCCAGACAGCAATAGGGTTCATGCTGAGCAGTTGTTGGGGGGCAGGGGAAGGCTGGCTCAGAGAGTGGGGTCAGATTTGGAGGGGGATGAAGTCAGGTAGAAGAAGAAAAGTGAAAAGAAAATAGAGAGATTAACTGGCTAATGTGGGTAGTTGCTAAACGGTAATATATTTGGAGAAACTTATTCCCATTATTTGCCATCCTTTCCCACATTACAAATATGTTATATAAGTTTAGCATCAGCAGTTTACCTCTTATAAACGTCTGCCCTGGCTAAACTCCTCCCACATTTTACCTCCCTCACATCCATGCTTCATGATTAATTACAATTTGCTTAATAAGTGACGCAGAGTAGGCGCTTCACACGTGCCGGCTGATCTCTCCATACGTCTCATGTCTAAAGTTACAGGGACCATGATGTGCTTTCGAAACTACCCCCTGAATCACTTTCCCGGATCCTCACTTTCCTTCTGCCGAGTCCTTCACGTCATCTCTTTCATCCTGCTTCACTGAGAGGAAGTTCCCTAAAATGAAGCATCGGACAGGATTGTACTGGCCTTGTCTCCCTCCACCCCCGTTTTAAAAAGCCACTCGCGACGGTGCTGTATCGCTTAGGGGCGGCGAGCAGTCACCTCCTGGTGGTGAAGGCATCTCCCTGTCTGCCTGCCGTGTGCAAACCCGCATCCAGGCCCGTCAGAGAACAGAAGGAACATGCGGTCCTGTGGCTTCAGGGCAGTCCATCCGGGGAGGGGTAAGCCTGTCCCCGAGGACCCTTGTGGTCACAAACTCTCACATCCTCCCGATGAGGGGACGACACCCGTGTGTGTTGCCCTGCAGGCTCCCGGGCACCTCCTGAATGTTCCGTGTGACGCACACTAGCATGGGCTCTTTAATGTCTCATCCAGACTTCTCCCGTCATCACTGAAAACCAACCACTGGCTGTCAGCACACACATGGGAAATGGGAGAACTCACGGTATGAAGGTGTCAGAAGACAAAGTGAAGCCCCACCACCTGCTCCCACCACGGCAGGGAGGCAGGGAGGCCGGGAACCCGCTCACGGCCTGCTGCCAGGAAGTGCACAAGATTTTAGGGAATGAATGCTGTCGACTAACCTCACCAGTCCCTCCGTCTCACTGTCCCGGACCCTCACTGCGTCTCTTCATCTTGCTTCACTGTGTAATATGCGTCTCTGGAAGCTCCCTTCAATCACTTTTTGAAAAAGAAGTTGAGGTGTACATGAATCAACTTGTATCATGTGGGTGCCAAAAGCTTTTTGGCAAAAGAACAGGTAAGTGAAGTAAGCTCTCAAATCCTGGGCTTCCGCACTCTGACAGGAGGCCGTGGCTGATGTTGAACGATACTGACCTGGCACCACTCAGTCTCCTATTGAAAAGATCAATGGAGCAAACATTCAACCCTCTGAGGCCTTTAACTGTGAGGAGACACGGCAGGCGACGCCGGGCAGCTGGGGAAAGGGGTGGGGACGTGTACCAAGAATAGAGGACTTCCAGAAATCACTGCCTGGGCTAGAGAAGTGTGCCGCCTTGAACAAAATGGCCTTTTATATATACATATACTACACATACATTGATTTCAGAGAGAAAGGGAGAGAGAGAGAGAGATAAAAACATCAATGATGAGAGAGAATCATTGATTGGCTGCCTCCTGCACGCCCCCTACTGGGGATCGAGCCCACAACCCGGGCATGTGCCCTTGACTAAAATCGAACTTGGGACCCTTCAGTCCGCAGGCTGACTCTATCCACTGAGCCAAACCGGCCAGGGCCAAAATGGCCTTTTTTGACCTTTCTGGGTAGTATCTAAATTTGTGTCTTAAGTATATGTATTTACAATTTTTCTATAAACATTAAAGAAAACAAACAAACAAAAAAAAGGCAGCCTATAAGCACAGCTCTGCAGCTCCAGAAGTTCATGACAACAACACTCAAAACAGGAGAACAATTCGGACCGTCCCCAGAGGACACTGGACGTCCCCAAAATGTCCATTTCCCGCGTGCCAGAAGGCAAGGGGGCGTGAACCGAGCGCGTGACTCTTAGCCATCAATAAAAGCTCCACGTCTTTCACTTGGGAAACTTTCAACGTCAACCAATTAACTTCACTCTTTCTCACAGAAGGCGAAAACGTCTCGGGTGCACCCCGTTATCTGTGTTCTCCAGAACAGTCCACCACGAACGCACTGCGTGGGGACAGCTGCTGTCAGGGCGGGAAGGCCAGCACAGTCCTGAACAGAGGACTGAAGGAAATAATAATGTCTGTGTTCATCCCCAAAGCAGAAGAACTGGTACACACCCTTAAATAATGCAATATTGTTGTTAACGACGGCATTAAATACTGTGTTGCCTCTCAGAGTCTTTGGAATATAATTAATCGGCATGAGCAAATCGAGGTCCTTTCAGAATTGGCAGCCACCCTCTGCGTGCTTTTGTAACTCAGCTAAATTTATTTGGGAAATGCATATCCTGTAAGTAAACGCTATATAGTCTAGAACATCAAACATTTTCACTCCCTAAATCACATGTAAAAATAAAGAGAAACATGTTTATTTACCATCATCTAATTCTAACCTTAAAAGAATAAATATTTTCCTATAAACGCACACCATGCAAAGGGCTACTGCTTCCTGTATTTCTATCAAGTTCCCAGGCTATAGGTTCTCTATAGGACAGAGATTCCTTACGTGGCGAGAGGAAAGGACTCCATTATAGAGAGCCAGATATTTTCCACGTCTGACAAAATGTTGGGAGCATAAATTTAAAGTTTTGGGTTTTGGCCTCACTGGTGAAAAAAAAAAAAATAATGCATTCGACCAACGACAAGAGGCACTTCTGTGATTATCTGAGAGCCCTCGCACGTTCACTGCCTCTGCTCTGCTAACCAGACTTCAGGCCAAGAGAAATCTCCCAAGCAGAGTGGGGGAAATACAAGAGTTTAAAACTGCTATCATTCCCTGAAGCAACTGCTCAAGATAATTTGCAAGAGTATTATAGTTTCAGAAATTTATTTTGCTGCTTCATTTGTAGATAAAGTCGTTTTGACGCCCATAGAAATCCTTGGAAATTCAAAGTCTCAAACATTGAACATCACTAGCAGGGCTGCCTCTAACGTCGTGCAACAGCTAGGAAACCAAATCACGAGACCCTGTAAGTGCAAGGCCACAGAGCTTCCCTTCCGGCCGCCTGAGCTGGCCTGGTGGAAGCGAGGGTCCAGGGCCCCTCCACTCAGTCCCGGGTGGGTCTGCCTGTAGCAAAGCTCTCAGCAAGCTCTTCCTGACCTTCAGCCTCTGAACTCAACCGACTTTCCCTGAGGAGTTCCACACAGGGATTCGTAAGATTCATTCACTCCACTGGCCTGCTCGGAGAGGCAGCCCCCGAACCGGGGCTGCAGAGGCGCCCAGCGGCCCCTCTCACCTCGCTGGGCCAAGGGGTCACCTGTCTGGGCCCTTCTGGCTTCTCCCCGCACGCCCCCACCAAGGGAGCGCCTGTTCTGGCCCGCCCCGGAGCCCACCCCTCCCCCAGGGCCCTGCGGAAGGGG